TTAAATAAGAACTTCGAATTTTTATTACAAATTTATATTTCAACAAAATTTTCGAAATTTCACTAAATACATTTTCTTGTAGACTTCGGGCCCCAGAAGTCATATCCGCTTTCATTTCTTCGATATCTCCAATGGTTCTTCCAAAATCGCACTTTGAAATGTACAAAAATGTGCAAAATACCACCAATTTTTGGGCCAATTTTCAACAAAATTTTCGAAATTTTACTAAATACATTTTCTTGTAGATCTGGGGCCCCAGAAGTCATATCCGCTTTCATTTCTTCGATATCTCCAATGGTTCTTCCAAAATCGCCCTTTGAAATGTACAAAAATGTGCAAAATACCACCAATTTTTGGGCCAATTTTCAACAAAATTTTCGAAATTTCTCTAAATACATTTTCTTGTAGATTTCGGGCCCCAGAAGTCATATCCGCTTTCATTTCTTCGATATCTCCAATGGTTCTTCCAAAATCGCCCTTTGAAATGTACAAACATGTGCAAAATATCGCCAATTTTTGGGCCAATTTTCAACAAAATTTTCGAAATTTTACTAAATACATTTTCTTGTAGATTTCGGGCCCCATAAATCATATCCGCTTTCATTTCTTTGATATCTCCATTGGTTCTTCCAAAATCGCCCTTTGAAATGTACAAAAATGTGCAAAATACCACCAATTTTTGGGCCAATTTTCAACGAAATTTTCGAAATTTCACTAAATACATTTTCTTGTAGATTTGGGGCCCCAGAAGTCATATCCGCTTTCATTTCATCGATATCTCCAATGGTTCTTCCAAAGTCGCCCTTTGAAATGTTCAAAAATGTGCAAAATACCACCAATTTTTGGGCCAATTTTCAACAAAATTTTCGAAATTTCACTAAATACATTTTCTTGTAGATTTAGGGCCCCAGAAGTCATATCCGCTTTCATTTCTTCGATATCTCCAATGGTTCTTCCAAAATCGCCCTTTGAAATGTACAAAAATGTGCAAAATACCACCAATTTTTGGGCCAATTTTCAACAAAATTTTCGAAAATTCACTAAATACATTTTCTTGTAGATTTGGGGCCCCAGAAGTCATATCCGCTTTCATTTCTTCGATATCTCCAATGGTTCCTCCTAAATCGCCTTTTGAAATGTACAAAAATGTGCAAAATACCACCAATTCTTGGACCAATTTTCAACAAAATTCTCGAAATTTCACTAAATACATTTTCTTTTAGATTTCGGGCCCCAGAAATCATATCCGCTTTCATTTCTTCGATATCTCCAATGGTTTTTCCAAAATCGCCTTTTGAAATGTACAAAAATGTGCAAAATACCACCAATTCTTGGACCAATTTTCAACAAAATTTTCGAAATTTCACTAAATACATTTTCTTGTAGATTTCGAGCCCCAGAAGTCATATCCGCTTTCATTTCTTCGATATCTCCAATGGTTCTTCCAAAATCGTCGTTTGAAATGTACAAAAATGTGCAAAATACCACCAATTTTTGGGTCAATTTTCAACAAAATTTTCGAAATTTCACTAAATACATTTTCTTGTAGATTTGGGGCCCCAGAAGTCATATCCGCTTTCATTTCTTCGATATCTCCAATGGTTCTTCCAAAGTCGCCCTTTGAAATGTTCAAAAATGTGCAAAATACCACCAATTTTTGGGCCAATTTTCAACAAAATTTTCGAAATTTCACTAAATACATTTTCTTGTAGATTTAGGGCCCCAGAAGTCATATCCGCTTTCATTTCTTCGATATCTCCAATGGTTCTTCCAAAATCGCCCTTTGAAATGTACAAAAATGTGCAAAATACCACCAATTTTTGGGCCAATTTTCAACAAAATTTTCGAAAATTCACTAAATACATTTTCTTGTAGATTTGGGGCCCCAGAAGTCATATCCGCTTTCATTTCTTCGATATCTCCAATGGTTCCTCCTAAATCGCCTTTTGAAATGTACAAAAATGTGCAAAATACCACCAATTCTTGGACCAATTTTCAACAAAATTCTCGAAATTTCACTAAATACATTTTCTTTTAGATTTCGGGCCCCAGAAATCATATCCGCTTTCATTTCTTCGATATCTCCAATGGTTTTTCCAAAATCGCCTTTTGAAATGTACAAAAATGTGCAAAATACCACCAATTCTTGGACCAATTTTCAACAAAATTTTCGAAATTTCACTAAATACATTTTCTTGTAGATTTCGAGCCCCAGAAGTCATATCCGCTTTCATTTCTTCGATATCTCCAATGGTTCTTCCAAAATCGCCCTTTGAAATGTACAAAAATGTGCAAAATACCACCAAGTCTTGGACCAATTTTCAACAAAATTTTCGAAATTTCTCTAAATACATTTTCTTGTAGATTTCGGGCCCCAGAAGTCATATCCGCTTTCATTTCTTCGATATCTCCAATGGTTCTTCCAAAATCGCGTTTTGAAATGTACAAAAATGTGCAAAATACCACCAATTCTTGGACCAATTTTCAACAAAATTTTCGAAATTTCACTAAATACATTTTCTTGTAAATTTCGGGCCCCAGAAGTCATATCCGCTTTCATTTCTTAGATATCTCCAATGGTTCTTCCAAAATCGCCCTTTGAAATGTACAAAAATGTGCAAAATACCACCAATTTTTGGGCCAATTTTCAACATTTGAGGTACGAAAATTCACTTTTCTTACTTAGGGGCGAAAGTGAATAGGGTGATTTTTATTATACAACTGTACCAAACTGTCAATGTCAAGAATGTAAGGCAAGTGCAACCATATTGTGATATACAGGGTGTTATTGAAAGGTACGTACAACAAAATTGACAGTTCTTCGTGAAGTCTAAGAAGTCTGAAAAACTTATTTTGTGTTATCAAAATTATAAGGGGAAAATTAACCCTTATCCAAGCTTTTTAGACGCTACTGAAGGATAAATAGGTAAAATTAATTTATTTTAGTAAATCCTAGCAACTGTAACAATAAAACTTTTGTCAAGACTAAATGTTGCTATAGAAACGAGATATGATCTTTTTATCAGAGGTGTACAACGAATTTGGACCTAAATTTTAATAATTTTTATCTCTGAAAGGAGAACACTTTTACCTGAACTTTCTTTAACTTTTAGCACCCATACTTCGAGACCAATTGCCAATTTTATTTGGTATGTACCTTTCAATAACACGCTGTATAAATACCTTTTGAGAAATGAAATTTACCCAACTCACTCGCTACGCTGTCAAAAATGACAAGTCAAAATGATACGTCAAAACCTTCTATGATGTACCAAAACTTTTTAACCAAAATAATGTTCACAATTTAGAAATGACTGCACAGTGGTATTGGATATTAAAGTAGAACCCTAAGAGTACTTCCACCGTAAAAAATCATCTCTGGGTTTTTACTCTTACAAAAGTTAACGTGGGGTCTAAAATTTAACTTGGGAATCCCTATAGCCACTTTTAAAAAATATACACTGTATACATGTTATGTTAGCTGTTTTTTGGGAACCGACACGTGAGCTAAACTAGAGTTGAGCTTGAGTTGTTCGCTTTAACATTTTTTTTAACCCCGACTAAAAAATTAATCCCGATCGCCATTATAATTGTGGTTCTTAGCTATGTTTGACGATAACCACTTCAGTCATTTCAAGATCATCAATTGATGTCTGTTTGTCTCTCTGATGCACCGTAGCTTCCAAACGGATGAACCGATTTCACTGATTTTTCTTTTGATTGAAAGCCGGATTAATCGGGAAGATTCTTACAAGGATGGTCTGATGAATTACTCGGCTCAAAGAAGTCCAAGGATTTTTCCTACATTGAGCGATTCCTATTCTTCTTATGAGGCTATTTGCCTTTTAGTTCATGAGTTTAAGCACGGGAGAACATCTCTTAAAGACGCATCACGTTCTAGAGGTTCAAAAACTGCCGTCATACCAGAAATCATTGACATAATAGGGTTTTGACCCAGAGATGAACTGTCAATATTCTACCACCAAAAAAGTAAGATAAGGAAGAAAAATGACTACCTCCTGTGAAAAATTTTATTTGAATTCGTGTATATGTGAGTTAAGTTATATTTAACACAGTGCTACCATTCACCCCGTTGCAAATGTAGGTAGTTGCTGACTGTTCTGTAGAAGACTACATTAATTTTTAGTTTTTTTTATAAATGGGTCTATCGTGTGGATTTTGTAATTCTCTGTTATTAAAAGAAACGGTTTTATTTTGTTGATCCATAATATTTTTCAAAGCACCGTACTGAGAAAAACTCAAATTACGTAGATAATCTAGTTTTTTCATTCTGTACCCACCTGTGTGTCTGATATGCACGAAGTCTCCGGAAATACTATAAATGTTATAATTTCGTCACAATATGGTTTTGTAACAGATCCATGATAGCGATAGAATTTTTCTTTATTTTTAGGTAGAAAATCAGCTAGGGTTATTTCGTCTTTTAGCGATACGGGCGTGCGTAATTTATTTTTAACTTGCGGAACACTGTTAATCAGATTATCGAAAATGGGATTGTTATCATATGAAGACGTCTAAAAGTTCTGAAAAATGTAACTAGCAACTTTTGTTTTTAAAATCACGTACGTTGTAAAATGAAACAACATTAAGGAAACCATCTTCATGGGGAACTGCGTCCATGAGACTTCCATATTTTGAGTTATAGAAGATCATAACAAGCTCCAAAGGGTACCTTTAACAAAACTGGTTTTTCTTTTATCACTTCAAGCATGTATTATATGTATTTACCTGATCGCATTTATAACATGCTCAGAAGGCCAACGAAATTGAAACACAATAAACGTGTAACTGTCTTCTAATCCTCCTCCAGAAATTTGTGGCTCCAAGGACTTATCGTCCAATATTACTGCAACTGTATAGTCTTCATTCAGAATGCTTGCTTTATAACTTTTACTAAATTCGTCACTAAACTGTAAATCTTCATAGTTTCCCGGTGTGGTGTTACTGTCTATTATCTGTATTGGAGCTTGTCTTCGTCCATTTATGCAATGAGTTTCAGGCCAATCAGCTAAAAATTGTTCAAATCATAACACTATTGATAAAAACAGGAATATTTCTTTTTCAAACTTCACATTACTTTCGATTTATATGTAGACATTTAAACTATCCTTAAATTTAACAACAAAATAATTCTTTGATCCCACGCGGTGTTTTATCGAAGCGCTCGAGTTCTTTATAAAAAGGAATTAGAGAAACCTGCTTTGTTTTTGCACTATAGGTACAAATTATACTGGTGTCGATACAGTATATAGGCGATTTGACATAAAACATTAAATTGGTTCATTATTATCTTCTGAGCGTAAGTTAAAGAAGTACAGTAATCGAGTCCATCGGATTAGTAGCCACTTTTATGTTTCCTCGACGTTTCATGACCCCTAGAATACGAAAAGGTAGTCTTCCGTTTCCGTGTGTCTGTCTGTCTGGTGTCGGTGTCGATTTTTATTAGACACGTAATTTCCGAAACTAGTGGACTGTTGTCAAATTTTGTATGTGCATTAGAAATAGATGGTAAAACGCTAACAAAAATCATCCCCACCAACAATTTGATGACGTCATTTCAAAAAATTTCTATTTTAAAATGTTATATGTTCCTATACGTGTGATGTAAGAAACATCCAGATTTTTGAAAAAAAAATGAAATTCTATAACGTTATTTTAAATTACAGAGGTTATCACAAAAAATTAAATTTTGCAATTCTTCGAAGAAGCTGTGTTTGTTTAGCTGTATTTCCGGGGTGAGGAAAGTTTGATTCAAATAACCGTAAACCATGGAGGTAGAATAGGAGCGCGGAAAAGACATTTATGGCCCTAGCGGAGGATCAGAGGCGGCCCAATTTGGTTTAAAATAGGTTCATAGGTAGTAAAAATGTCTTATTATTTGCTTAATTTTGGAATAAACACAAACTAAATTTTCCTGCTACTGCTTTTATATTAAATTATTTTTGTATCTTATGCCTAGTACTCAGCAAACGACTTCGAGCACGCGTCTGGAACAACCAGTTACTTGGAGGAGCTGAAAGGGCCATTTATGACTCGTCGAAAGCTCGGTAACATGCACGTTTTCAAACTATCTTCCCTCCTCTCATTCTACCTCCAATTCTTAAACCAATTTTTAGAGCATATACCTATATTTTACCAATATTTTATATTTTCTTTCAGAAAAAAATCAGTGTGCAAAAATGTTCTTATTAAATAGTACTTTACCTTGATTGTGGTAATTCCAATTTACGGGGTTTTCTGACAACAAAAACAATTATTAAGCGGTATATAATAGTTACTGCATAAATATAACATTATTGCCACTACTCTTACCTGTCAAGGGAGTCTCTATTGGCGATTCAGCCGTCGTTAGCTTATTTAGAAGAGAAATATCTATAAATAATAAAAATATATACTTATTCTTGATAGTAAAATAATAGTTCTGAAAGTTTAATAGAGATTTATTTTATCAGAAGTTCAAGTATCTAATAGTTTATATGACCTACGCGTCACATAAAGTCACTTAAATTCCGAATGAAATATAACATTTTATTTTCAAACGATTAATATTAGCGATTATTTTCTGTCTCCATAGGTACTTCATTAAAACCTTAATCTGAAATTATTACTGATGTTACAACATAACCTCAAATTCAGAAATTATTTGTTACTAAATAAATTTTTGTTGTAACTAGCTCGTAGATAAAATATTGTATGACACACGTGTGTGAAAGGCTTTTATGCACTCCATGCGATTAAAACACTCGCCTTTAAACTTCGCAATTCTTGCATAAAAGAAAGGAAAGATAATTAAATGACGTTTCAAACCAAAAAAAAGCGCGCGTTCCTCCATATCTCATTAATTATGAGAAACAGAAAAAATGTCAAAGACCAAAGTTGTACGGTTTTAGCTATACAGACCGTTCTAGATTAAGATACGATTTAATATTTTGGAAGAAACAGCCTACATATTTTTAGATATTTTGATTGACCTCTTCTTAGGCTTGACAACACAGTTTATTTTAGAAATTCTAATGCGTTGTTGCCACGTTATTCCAATTTTCTTGAATTTTTTAACAATGCAAGAGTTCACAAAAAAATCGCAATAGGGTTATTTTTAAAATTGGGTGGAGATAAACAAAGGTACATGCTTTGTTGTGGTGTAAATGATATTCAATTTTCATGTACAGTGAATAAATAAATAATATTAGAATTTTCAAATACATATTGATATTTCAGTTTTTTGTAATTACCGCAATATTTTACTTTTTAAGACACATTGACATATTAGAAGAATGAGAACAAAAATAGAGTAAGAGACAGCAATAAAATATCGGTATATGAAATTTGAAAGTTTTCGATGTTTTATGAACACTCTGTATACTAAAATTTCATTTAATAAATGCAACAATAAAGACTATTTCTTCATTTATCCTTCCATAAGATATGGTAATTCAAATTTTAAAAATAACGTCATTGCGAATTTTTTATATACCCATCAAGAAATTTCAAGAAAATTTTAATAATGTCGCTTCGGTATTTTAATACTGAACTGTAATTATAAAGCCTAGGAAAGGGCTAATAAAAGACTAATTCGTATGTTACGCCTTAAAACCAGAACACTCTGTATAGTTAAAAATAATTTTATAGTGGAGTCCCCAAAGACCCATACAACTTTTGTCTTTAACTTTTTTTCAATTTCCAATAATGAATTATAGTACATGTATAGAAGACCGCGCGCTTACAGACGGACTGTGTATAAATAAATAAATACAAGCTTCAGCCTCAATATACACTTGGCAATTACACTTTAATTTATTCTCATTTTCAGCAAATGTAATTTTTGTGAAAAATATCGCGTAAAACAAAAATTAATTTCACTTACATGTTAAAACCCAGAAGCCAAAACTGCTCATTTTTAAGCAAATATTATACACAAGAAGCAAGAAGTTGTAACAAAATAAGTGCTATGGTTCTATGAGTGCAATATTTATAAGGTCGAAGCTTTTGCGTATAATGGCATGTAAAAAAGTGCAAATGCAACTACTATCAGCAGTATTAAAATAATGAAAAATGATAAATGTGAAACTACAAAGTTATTTATTTTCTGCAACCTTCAAACCAAAAAATGTTAAATGTTTGTAGTTTGCAGATAAGGTAAATGGACTTTTATCTCAGATGTATAAATATTGCTCAAGTATTACTTTGCAATATTCTAATTTATAACGAAATAGTAGAAACAGTATTGTAATTATAATTAACTGTTGTTTGGCATTGATGCCCTTGAATCGAAATGCGTTTCAACTTAAAATAGTAATATGTATATCCATTTCAGATCGCTTGGAATGACTAAATCTAGTATCTTTATTTTTTTAGCTAGGTAATTATGGACATCATTTTTCCAATTTAAAATCGGCTTAGAAGGTCAAGCCGAATGATTAATTCTTGATTTCATTAAATTTTTAACAACTGGTGGAAAATTGTCCACAGGTGAAGTTCCCATTAACTTCTCAAAGTCCTGGTGAATTAGCTTTTTACAGTGCAAAACATTTTTTCTCCAAATGCTTTCAGCTATAAATTGTGAACTATGTTGTGATACTATGTGCTTATTGTAAAAGTCTTTGCCTGTACCCATACCAACCCCGTAGGATTGTACTGTGCGGTGGAAGGCCAATCGGTTCATATCCCCTAAACCCTAAATAATGTGACTAATATTTTTGACATTTTAAAATTTCACGCCACCTCTTAAAAGGCCGCCAACCGTTAAGTTCTAGTGACTACAAGAATGCATCTGAATAACAAAAAATTACTGTTGGTCATTTCTATCGATGTAGAATGCCTAATACGTCATAAGTCCGGTAACTAATATTTTATAAACACGGGTGCGCTAGGTTCCTGTGAGTCAGTATATTAATTACCAATCCTATTCCATTGCCCCGATAAAGTCTTCGGTATAGGTATGCTATTACAACTTGACTTTAGGGTTTATAGAGGTTGTCTCCTCGTGGTTCAGACGATGAAGCCAAGATCCCTGCAGTTTTTCATACGATATACAGAGTGATTAGTTTATCTCTTCACGCCTGAATATTTTCGTGTAGGCAACACATTATACATATCATAAGCAACTTTGATCAATCTATTAATCTTTTTAAATTAGCAAGCATAATTAATAAGTGCAACAACATAAAAATTACACTGTGTCGTAATGACAACAAAGACGTCAAACAACTAATAGTAGCAAAATTTAAAGAAACTAGCATCCAATTTATTCGGTTCTTAAACGAATATAAATAAAATAAAATAAATAAATAGGTATCCTATAATAAGTAATCAAACTGCCCGCATTGTCCTTCTTCGCACAGCGCTAACTGTGTTCAAAATTTCGCCTGGCATGTAGACGAACGGCAGCATCGATATTTCCAACACACTTTCCGAATGTTAAAAGCATATCGGTTTTTCGGAATTCAAAAGCACTGTTAGCAAAAGTTGAAAATAATTTGACTGTTATTTTTGTTATTTTGTCATAATTTTGACACAGTCTTTGCCACCTACACGATATTTATTATTTATAAAAAAAATGTAAGACGAAGTCGTTTATGGAAAGTAAAATGTGTTGCCTATTCCGACCTGTCCAGGCGTGAACAGATAAAATAATCACCCTGTACCCTCGCCACGCCCCGCGAAGGTAGTTGAAGCATGAAATCCAGCTTACGGCATTAGCGGACATCTGGCGTGTAGATAACCTTATACAGGCCCTACATACGTAGTTTTACCTTGAAGCCCGAACTGTACAGTTCTCAGTTCAATCCATTCGTCTTCCCCTAGGTAATCTATAATTAAAAATTCTTTTTTCTATAGTTAAATTTTTTTTGGGGAACGATTTCATACTATGTTCACTACCGGTAAATGCATCATCTGCTACGAAAATAAAATCCAAGTTATTTTCATTCTTATCGTTTGTTGGCAGATTTAATTTATTTTTTGCCATTCATTTTTTAAACACTCCTCCGTCTGACACTCTTCCATTAGTACCAATATCCACGTAGATAAATTCATAGTTCGAATTTATTATAGACATAAACACGATACTACAGAACCCTGTTTTAATTAATTGTAATAAAATGAGCTACGTTTCTTTGATTTACCAATTCGAATATGCTTGCCGTCTATGGCACCACCACAGTTTGGTACATTCCATAAATTATTATTAAACTGTTTAGCACTTTCAAGCCAAGCTTTTTCGGTACTTGGTAACTAAATAAAAAAATATATATCATTTACATCATGCTAAGAAGCTTTCATAAACTGAGTAGGTTTAAGTTGTACAGTTAATTGTGATAATATTATCAGGTAATTGTTTATCTTTTAGATCTACGCTGAAAGAGAGTAAACAACTTCTGTTAAAGTTAGCAACCCTCGCAAAAGACAAAAAACAAGGAGGGAAACAGTATTGGAAACAGCGGAGAAAATATTCCAAGTACCGGCTGGTGACGAATATGATGCGGATGGGGTAACTGTAGCATCAAAGTTACGACGAATGAAAGTTTCCCAACGCATTTATTGCGTAAATTTAATAAACAGGGTCATGTATGTGGGTACTTTAAATAAACTTACGGAAACTTTAGACATTGTAGCACCATCTTCTACGATTGCTACCTTCCCTCCCCCTTTTTCTCAACCTGTATACACCCCATCAGCTATTTCTTACATGCCTAATTCTTTCAATTCTCATATTTCTACCTCCGCTACCCCTGTAAATACCCCAGAAGCTTCTAATTCTTTTATTCCCCTTCCGCACTCTCTTGCAGGTACCACTATTAACATTAATAATGTTAGCGGTAAGCCTCATTGCCAACACTAATTCCCCTGCTACGCCACTGTCTTTATTTAACTGAGGTCGCAGAAGGTCAGAAAGGGCTGGTACGACGGGGGCGGTGCGAGAGGGTTGTTAAGTGGCGCTAGCGAAGATATGTTGGAGGGCATTACGTTGTGAACTATCACTAAATAGAGTTGTGTTTTCGTGAAGTCGCTGTTTTTGTTAAAATAAGTCCCCCGCGCTATTATCAGCTATTAATAGTTTACTCTCTCTTTCAGCTGAGTCTTCAAGAAGTAGTTTTTATAGTGAATTGTAAATCCCTGTATGTGTTTTGTTATCTACGTAGTTTATATATTAACTGATATTTGAAACAGTATTATTTTTTAACTTTTTGTTTTGTTTTGTGAACTTGAATATCTTTTTATTTGTGGCTTAATGTTTTTTATACGTATTATATGTTTTCTTTTTTTTTATATTTACACATGTTTCAGTTACTTTTTGCTAAATTTATAAATCAAAAATTATTAATTTAACTAGTGATCGTTATTTTATTAAAGCACCATTCACTATTGACACATGTTGTACCAATTAGCAAAAAAATTAGACATATAAATGCAGAATTAAACTAAATTTAACAAAATAACAAAAACAGACCATGTACGATATTTTCTTAAATAAAACAATAAAGGAGGCTGTTATTGTAAACAGTGTTTTTCATCATTTGATTATAAGTTTGGCAGTTGATAAACGTTTTCACGTGAAAATAATGCCGTTAACTCTTACAAACGTCTCTCAAATTGTCGCTGTGTTTCTGTTATTTGGTTAAATTTAATTTAATTCTGCGTTTATTTGTCTTCTTTTTTTTTGCTAATTTATACATTGAACAATTCTGGGGTAGAATTGTGGGAGTGAGTAAAAGCCAATAAAGCTTAATACTAATTTTATTCAAAACAACCTAACTTATTTATACAAAACTAACTATTTACAGCGTATGAGTGATTCTAAACTAAAGGTAATCAGACATATGAATTTATATTGCGTCCCAGTTTCTTGTATTTTCTTTTGTTCCATTACCGCTGTCTTCGTAATGCTGACGATGGTGCTCTTGCGGTGGTCAGCGTTTCGTAGTTCTGGTGCTTGCAATTCCATGTTTCAGCGTTCTACATTCGCGTCGTTGGTCTTGACCTTCTTATTGGTGACGTAAAGAGGAAATTTAAATTTTAGAAATTATTGTTTAAATTTAGGATTTAAACATACATCATTTGTTGTTTTAATAAAATAACGATCACTAGTTAAATCAATAATTTTTTAAGTTTGGTTTTGCGAAATTTTTCAGGGTGGTCGGTTTTTTTGCCGGCCAGTGTACATAGTAAGATGATTCACGTCCCATTACCCGGAAAATTTAAAAATAATTCATCCCCGCAGCACAGTACAACATATCCAACTTTTTCGGAAAATTCAAAGACTTGATTTTGCAACTATTATTACTTTTTTACGATAACCCCTGTAAGTTGAATACTACAATAAAATAATAATAAACAATCGGAGATTATCCATTTAATAAAAAACAACACAGACGGCGGACAGATAGACAGATATACGTAAACGGGAAACCTATTTCTTCGTACTCTAGGAATCATAAAACGTCAAGAAAACATGAAAGTAGCCATTTGTCCCATGGACCTTATTACAATATTTCCTTGGCTTATGCTTGGGAAGAAAAAATGTGAGATAATAATCTGGCACCAACAAAAACAATCAAAAGAATAATCCGGCTAGTGTTGGAGATACAGCCGTCTCACTCATTCCGTATTCTATGGACACAAAAAGAAAGGCAGCCTGCTTCGACAATGTGAACTAGTGAATAATTTTTGTTGATCGTTCTTTCTTTATTCTCGTAGGGGTAAAATCTATTAAGTTCAAGTAATATATATTGTATAATTCACATAACAATTCCTCAGTTTTGGGTCCATTTTTGTCTTTTAAATTATTTTCAGTATAAATATCCTCGGGAGTCGAAACGGCAAAAATACAATAGCTTTTTTTGTTACTGCTAACTGTCCTTGTACTTGATAATAATAAGAATGATCTCTCGAAGAAATAGGTGCCCGTTTCCGGCTGTCTGTCTGTCCGTCTATCTGCAGTCCTGAAAGTACTGGGCCGATTATTGTCAAATTTTGTATTTATGTTAGAAATATCATGGAGATGGTAAAATGCTAACCAAAATTTGTCTAATCATCCCCAGCAATAATATAATTACATCACTTCAAAATTGTACATAGTAAATGGGTTTTAAATTGTATAAAATAACATATTCTTTCACATGTAGTTAAGACTCAGTGTTGAGTTTTTACCCGAAATGTCCAGATTTTTTGAAAAAAAAAAAAAATCAAAATTATAAAACAATATTTTGCAATTTAATTTTAAATCTGCAAAACCGAATGCTTTGAAATCTTGCAAATGTTTTAAAGTTATGATAAGCATGATAAGTTTTTAATCAAATTATATTTGCTTGTCTCTAAAAAATTGATGACGTCAGCTCAATCTAAAATGTCCAAAATATGATGAGCTTATTCTTGTGACTTTTATCACTACCGTATTTTTTAGATATGCTTATATAGGGTTTCGCAAAAAGTTAATAACTGAAATCAGGAACTGCAAAACCGAATGCTTCGAAATCTTGGAGATGTTTTAAAATTATCATAGGCATGGTAAATTTTTGATCAAAATGTATTTGCTCATCCCCCCCTAAAAATTTGCCCAAAATTTTTCTGAAGAAATGCTGTCTTAAATGTGCAAAGTATGATGAGTCTCTACTTGTGATTTATCTATCACTGCATTCATATTTTATAGATTTGCTTATACGGGGTGTCTGAAAAAAAAATGACTGAGTCAATTTATTTTATTGATTAAATCAAGAATTGCAAAACTGAATACGTTGAAATATTGACGTTTTGAAGTTACTGTAAGCGTGGTAACTTTTAAATCAAAATTATCTGTTTATCAACTCCAAAAAATTTATTACGCCATCTCACAATTTTGCCGATTAAATTCTTTCGAAAATGTGCAAAGTATGATCAGACTATACTTGTAACTTATCATTGCATTCATATTTTTTAGATTTGCTTATACAGGTGACTCAAAAAAAATAATGAATCGGTCAATTTATTATTGATTAAATTAAGAACGAGCCACCCCATTTTCTCGAAAATGTAAGAATACGCTCGTCTTTATAACAATAAAATAATGATAAGGTAGGAATTATAATAATAACATTTAGAATACGTATTTTGTTCAATTCAGTTTTATGAATAATTTTATTCGTATGTTTTGAGGCGATAAACTCATTCAAACCAAACAAACGTCTACGTGACATTCTTCCGATGTATAAACATTAAAATTTTTATTACTACGCATATATAGCTTTATTCCCGTTAATAACCAGGATGCAGAAGGTCGAACTTCCGGCACACGTGCTTTTTGCTTTCCGTTGCAATAGTAACCTTAAAATAACCCGGAAACGTTAAATTGCCAAGTGTTTACGGCGCCGTCAACATCGCTGTTTATAAATAACTCACAGTTAATCTTTTCGGTTTAAAAGTTTATTAATCGCGCCTACAAATATTTTGTGTGTTTTCGGTGTTGTGGAAATACACGTTCTATAAAATTCAAAATGTTCGAAAAATGATAAAATGTAATTTTGTGAATTTTATTTCTACTTCCTGAGTGCAAACAAAGAAAGTATTGTAATCGAGTCTATCGTCTGTTCAAATTTTTATTAGGCAGATAATATTCAAAACTACCGGACCGATTGTATTTTATACATATGTATGTCAAGAACATCGTGTAGATGGTAAACCGCTAACCAAAATTTGCCCAATCATGTCATGACATCTCAAAAATGTTTATAATAAATTTTATAAAATAGCATACTCTTGTATTTGTTTTATCAAATACAAATTCGCAAAATCATTTTTTTTAATTTTTCAAAGAAGCGGGATATGTGGCACTGCATGAATCTAACAGAATTATGAATTTTGGGTTGATTCGGTGTTTATTAAGTTGTAGATGAGTCTATCAGATCTTGTAGAAGGCACGCTTGATGTCTAAAAAGCCACACTTTAAAGTAAGAAGAGAGGTGGACATCATGAAGCTCTAAAATGGTATTCATTGTGAAGCGTTGGAAGGCAAGCCAAATAGCGGCTGGGGAATTATATTATTGGTTTCCAAGAAGTTTTTTTAGACGATTTGTGAGAATGATTTAGGTGATGATATTAATGGGGTGATAAGATAATGGGTGTGGGGATCTTTACCTTGTTTAAAAGCCTGTCAAGGCTACGTTGAATCTTCAACCGCAGATTTTCGTAGGCAAATTGTGGAAGATAAAATTTTCTCCATGTTGTTCCTTTTGTTCCTGGAACTGGGATATCCTGTGGGATATTTCTTAGATACCTCACTTTCAAATTTGGTTTTTGGAAAAAAGGACAAATAGATGTCTAAGGAATTATTTCTTACAGTTCTGAGTCATACTAATTGTTCACATGTAAATATATTTTTAATTATTATTGAAAATCGTGATTCTCGTACTCCTTTTTTTTCCTGTCGTCTGATGCCACGACATAGGAATCTTATTTTTTAATAAATTGGCCAGAGTCGTTAGACATTCAAACACGGAATGATGGTTATCTTCATAAAGAATTATTTCCCATGCTTTCACTTTGTGACATTTCTTGGTAGAAAAAAAGTTCATTGAAAACATTTTTATAATGGATTAAATTTAAAAGGTAGCTGTCAGAACTAGAAGGGTCTGTAAATTATTGAGTTTGGTTGTAACCATCTAAAAAAAGTGCGTCAAAATTACCGAGTAATCTAATGGAAAAGTTATATGATTCCGTAACAGGCAAAAATATATATTTCAAAGAACCACTCATAATACAGCCATCATCATAAACGAACTTTTTCTTCAGTTTCTTTTCTGAAACCTTTTAACCAGTTGTTACTCGTTGTCTCCGCAGGTAGGGGATAAATAAACCTATTTTTGTAAATGCAAACTCTTTATTTTAACGTGGAGAAAACAAGACCTTTACCATAGTGCTACCATTTACCCTAACGCAAGTGCAGCAATTGCAAATTAAAATTTCCAATGTAGACGGAACTTTTAGCATTTTTGCTTGAAAACGGTTCTACCGTTTAGGGGTTGCACGTTTCGATGATTAAATTTGACAGTTTGATTTTTGGAATCTTTGATGTCTATCAGTTTCTTATACTACAATAAAGTAAAATTTGAACGTTTTTTTTTTCTACTTTACTTATTACCTGTGTCTCGGATATATAAGAGGGCTGTGGAAATACTAGGAAAGTTACAATTTCTTCGCAATATGGTTTTGTTATAGATCCGTGATAGCGGTAGAATGTTGTTGTATTTTTTGGTAGGAAATCAGCAACGCGTATTTTTTTGTCCAGTGCAACTGGTTTGTTAATTTTATTTTTAATAGCAGGGATTTTCTTAACGATTTCTTTAAAAGCGGGATTGTCCTTTGAAGATAACTGAAAAATAAAAATAAACATTCATCAATCAGTTCCTCCAATTAAATTTCAAACCACATACCTGATAAAAGGAAACGACACTGAGAAACCCGTCTTCTTTGGGTGACTCGTCTTTTTTGGGAATAGCCCCAGAGTAATTTCCATATTTTGAGTTATAGAAGATCGCAACAATTTCCAAAGCATACCGCGTACAATTTACGATATGCTCAGCACGCCAACGAAACTGCATCTGAAGAAATGTGTAAGTATCGTTCAAACCTCCGCCGTTAATGTTTATCTTCAACGACAAATCATTGAATAAAAATCCCACTGAAAATCAAAGACACGCTAACAGTTGCCCGTTTTTAACTTAATCAAAGTAAACCTGTATAATCAAAATTAATAATATATCCTGGATAACTTTTATAAACGTTTTCATTAAACTGTAAATTCTTATAGTTTGTACACGTAACGTTGTCATCTTTAATTGAAATAGGTGACTGGTTTTTCCCAATTTGGCAATATTTTGCAGGCCATTTACCTAAAAATACGTTCAAATTATAACATAGGAAACGAAGAACGAGGCTGTATAGTTTAAAATTAAGCTCATTATAACTTTTTGTAAGAAAATATTATCGTGTTAGTTATAGATTTTACAATGAATTGCTAAATATATTACAGTAGAAAATTCAAATGGACTGTATAAATCAAGTTTATGAAAACAAATTGCAGAGCAACACGATTAAATCTTAACAGTTCATGCAAAAAAACAATTACGAGTGTGAATATGTGAATAATATTGAAGAAAAAAATCACACTAATTTTATAGAATTCCAAATGGGCATCAAAATAAAGAAAGATACAAATTTTAAGTAAATCGTCAAACTACAGAATCCATTCTGGCGTGATCGGTAGCTAAACTACAATTTCGGAGACGATAGCGCTGTCAAAATTTTTGGTCGGGTTTGTCAAGAAACAACCCATCTCTTAAACTGATAAAAGGGACCTTATATCAAATGTTGTCTTACACTGGTTTCCGTAATTGAAATCTATCGGGAATTCTGAAAATATAACAATAATTAATAATATTTAATCATATGCCCAATTACAAAGTGTTTGTTGTTATTCTTACCTGTCAGAGGGGTTACAATGGGATATTGAGCCAGCGTTAATTCGTTTAACAACAAAATATCTAAAACTGTAAAAGAGTAAATAGTTTTCTTTAAATACTGAAAAAAATAATAAATAATAGTAGTTATTTATTATAAAGGACGATAAAGAAAATCTTTATGTACGGGTGAAAAGTGTTAGTTCATAGGTGACGGCAGTCATGAATGGACCATTTTTCAGGAGTATATAAAGATTCTCTATCGGCTGCATAATATTTTATGTTATTTTGTACCAGATTTTAAAAATATGCGAGTGTGACCATACGAATATTTTCAATACACCGCGCCGCCCGTTGTCAAAGCAAACGCGTGGTCATAGATCAATCAATTGTATTGTGTTGTCTTGGCTTCACTTTGTTTATTTAGTTTCATTTTGTAAAATTAGCAAACAATAAACTATTTCATTGCGAAAAACAGAAAAAAAATGGGTTCTGAAGATAGTAGTAATATTTCGGACTACATTACGGTTGCTGCTAATGCAGAAATAGCAAAATTGTTATTGCTTCCGACGATTGTCAGCAGCAATTTTGGCCAACAATGGAGGTGACTTTTTGATCGTGAAAAGTCTTGGTGGCTGGAATCGTATATTAAACAATGTGAAGCCAAAAAAATATCTGTTTAAAAAAAAATTTGGTTGCTGTGCAAGGAAGTTCTATCTAAGTAGCGGAATCATGTTCAAAACGTTTAGAAAGGGGTTTAGTATGTTCATCACTTCATCAGTATTCAACGTTGGACATATTGAACAGTGCACCATAAATAATGTGTACTAACACAAAGCTGGTTCGTCCGGTTTTTTATAATAATTGTTTTGTATTATTATGTATAATGAATTTTGAAAAATAAAAATACATAAAATAAAGAGTACATAAATAGCTTTTTTATCGTCTAGTGAATATAAAATTAGCTTATTTACTAAAAGTAAAGCCATACACCCTACTTTTAACAGCCGGTACAAAATAAATATATTTACATTATAGTAAAAAAAAAGATAATTAAAACATGAAACAACTTGGTTAAGGTAATGTCACTTACATGTTACAAGCACGATGTGGAAACTGCTCATTTTTAAGCATATGTTGTGTATGCCAGGGTGAAACGAAACTGCAATCGTCGTGTTTTGTTGTCGTATTTATAGGTCCCAGAGACTGCATAATTATACTCTCGATGTCGTAAAGTTCAGAAAAAAAAAAGAAAATGCAGCTATTTTATCTGTAGATAAAATAAATGGATCTGTAACGACCACGTTAGTACAGATTAGGTATTACTAAGTGTTACTTAGACGTTATATTTTATGTTAAAAAGAAATATTACACAGCCATACAAAAAATACACTGATAAAAAATAACCCATAACATACAATGTATCTACAAAAATTCTTGGAATGAAATGTGACAAAATTAGGCAGATTCAATTTTTAATAGACCATAATTTACCCTAACTTTATAATTTTTTTTTAATGATAAAAATTGGTCGAAAGAACCCCCGTCGCTCTAGCTTACTAGAAAAAGTTTGAGGGGATGTTATCCATTGGTGATAGGGATGATTGTAGTGATAAAACACAGAAGTATTATGGGTTGCAGAAGCAAGGAAGAAGTTAACATGGCGTACTGAATGTAATCAAGTTGTTTCAATAAATCACTAATCATCTAAAAGTGTATTTAATTAAAAAAGACAAGACATGACGCAGTCGAAACAGTGAACCTAAAGTAATGTGTGAAAAGTTAAATTTTGAAGATTAATGAAGAAAATCAACGACCTCGTGGAAAAGAAGAAAATCTAACCTCAAAATTGAAGATGTCGAACTTCGTAGTCCCAGCACCGCTGAATCTCAATGGAAATTTGTATGAAAACTGGAAAAAGTTTAAGAAGAGCTTCAACATATATATGACAGCATCGTCGTACGACAAGGAACCAGAAGAAAGGCAAGTGGCAATTCTTCTTAATCTAATTGGACCAGAGGCAGTCCAGCTACACGAAACATTCAAGTATGGAAAAGGTGATGAGAAGAAAATAGAGAAAGTATTGCAGGCATTTGAAGAGTACTGTAACCCAAAGAAGAACATACTTCATGCAAGATTTCTCTTCTACAATCGCAAACAGCGAGAAGGCGAGCCCTTTGATACCTTTTTAACTGATTGCAAAACTTTGGTGCAAGCATGTGACTTCAAGAATGCCGATGAACTCTTGAGGGACAAAATAGTACTGGATGCTGCTGACACGGACACCATCGACACGATTATAAAGTTGGGAGATATCAAGTTAAAAGACGCCATTGAAAAATTTCGAATTGCTGAACTGGTAAGAAGACAAACCCAAGAAATACATGGGAAAGAAGTCAACCTGGTAGCTGGAAAGAAACAGGAGAACCAACAGAAAAATTGAAGGTTTGTTCAACAAAAATGGAGAGAAACCCCTTCTTCCTCCTCCTATGAGAGACCGAAAAATACAGATGGAAAGTTCCACGACAAGAAGAAGGAGAAATACGAAAGAAACAATGGAAACAGTCCAGGAAATTGTCAACGCTGTGGGAGAAGACACGAAAGACAACAATGTCCAGCAAAAGGCAAGCAGTGTCAGAAATGTCTCAAATTTAATCATTTTCCAAAAATGTGTAAAACGCCAGCACATAATATTTCAAATTCAATTGAAGTTTTCAACATTGATGACGACGATAACACGTATTATTATAATAATGTTAGGAAATTCAGGGTAAATTCAATCTCATGCAGCAAATTTCTGAAAGTTGAAAATGTAAATGTAAATTTTAAATTAGACGCTGGTTCAGATGTTAATTTAAAACCATACAATGTCTTTGAAAATATACAAAAAACCACGTACAAAAAAAAAATAAAATTAACGAGTAGTAATCTCAAATTAGAAGCGTATGGAGGTTCAACAATAAAACATTTTGGACATGTTGATCTAAATGTTAAGACTTATACAATGAATTCCGTTGAAAAATTTATTGTCACCAAAGCTAATTTTACACCGATCTTGGGACTAAGTTCATGTTTAAAATTAAACTTAATCAATATGAAAGTTGATAAAATAGAAAAGGACAATGGTAAAGAAAATTTAATTGAAAAATACAGTGAAAATTTCAAAGGAGTAGGTTGTTTTCCAAATAAATATAAAATCGAACGAAAATAAAAACGACGCAAATCCTGTATATTTGGCACCTTACAGAATTCCTATAAAATTGCAGGATAAAGTTAAAAATGAATTAGACAGATTGTGTAAATTGGATATTATTACAAAATATGAGCAACCGACAGCATGGGCTAGTAGACTCATCACTGTTGTAGAAAAACCAGATAAAACGTTGAGACTGTGTTTAGATCCCAAATATATAAATGAAAGTATTAAAGACGAACATTTTGAAATACCTACATTGTCTGATCTAAAATCTAAACTTGGTAAAGCCAAATTTTTTAGTTGTTTGGATCTAAAGGAGGAATTTTGGCAGATTAGGCTTGATGAAAGTTGTATTCAACACTGTGTTTTTTCAACAATGTTTGGTAGTTATGCGTTTAAAAGACTACCATTTGGTTTGAAAATATCTGCCCAAGTCTTTCAGAAATTCAATTCTCAAACTTTCGGAGATATTGATAACATCTTTATTTATATTGATGATATATTGATTTTTGCAGAAACTGAAGAACAGCATGATCAAACGCTAATTAAAGTTCTAGAAAGGGCAAAAGCAATGAATATTAAATTCAATTTAAAGAAATTCCAATATAAACAAAAATCAATTAAATATTTAGGGCACATTTTTCATAATGGTACTGTCGAAATTGATCCAGAACGAATCAAAGCAATAATGCAATATGATACACCACGTGATAAAAAAGACTTACAACGACTGTTGGGTTTAATTAACTATTTGCGCGATTTTATCCCAAATTTGGCTGAGCAATCCAATTAAGACAGTTACTCAAAAAAGATTCACAATTTGTATGGTTAAATGGTCATACTCAATGCTTAAATAACATTAAAACATTGATAAGTGATGCGCCGTCACTAAATAATTTTGATCGAAATAAAGAAATTGTAATACAAACTGACAGTAGCAAAAATGGCATTGGTTGTGTACTCTTGCAGGGTAAAAAACCTATTAGCTTTGCATCAAAAAGTTTGTCAGACAATGAAATCAAATATGTACAAATAGAAAAAGAATTTTTAGCGATATTATTTGCATGTCAACGTTTTCATTATTTCATTTATGGCCAAAAAATTAAAATTCAAACGGATCATAAACCTTTAATTGGTATAACGAATAAAGAAATAAATCAAATTCCATCTAGTCAACTTCAAAGAATTCGTTTCAAGTTATCAATGTATGATTTCGAATTAGTGTACACTCCGGGTAAAAACATGTTAATTGCAGACGCGATAAGTCGAGCATGTTCAACAGCTGAAAATATTGAAACTGACATAGAATTGAATCAAGTAATTCATACAGTTAATGTGAGCGACAAAATAATCGAAAAAATAAAATACGAAACGAATAAAGATGAAATCTTACAAGAATTAATATCATTATGTATCAATGGTTGGCCACAAGATAAATCAAAAATTAATGAACATATAAAATTTTATTATAAAATGCGGCATGACATTTTTGTAAATGACGGAATAGTCTACATACAAAATAAAATAATGATTCCAAAAAACCTAGAAACTTTTATTCTTAACAAAGTCCATGAATAACACTTAGGTATTTACAAAACCAAGTGGAGAGCAAAATCATTATTTTATTTCATTAATATGGATTCAAAGATTGAAGAACTAATTGCGAAATGCCAAACTAGTCAAAAATATAGACCTAAAAATGCCCATGAACCAATGATAATTCACGAAATTCCTTCACTTCCGTTTGAAATAGTAGGTTGTGATATTCTGGAATATGCTGGAAAAAATTATTTAGTTTTAGCGGACTATTATTCACATTGGGTAAAATTGAAAATACTACCAAACAAAAATTCAGACTCTGTTATTAAAGCACTCAATGAAATTTTTGCGACACATGGAATACCTGATAAATTAATTGCTGATAATATGCCATTCACTTCGTTCGAAATGCACAATTTTGCTACCAATTGAAATTTTTCAATAACTACAATCAGCCCGAGATATCCTCGTAGTAATGGTTTGAGTGAACAATATGTTGGTATTTGTAAAAAAATTTTAACGAAATCTAACGAAACAGGGACAGATATTAAAAGTATCTTACTCGATTACAGAAATTCACCCTTTTTCAATACAGGAATCACACCAGCAATGTTATTGTACAGCAGAAAAATGAAAACTAAATTACCCATGTTGAAAACAATGTTACAACCACAAATTGTCGAAAACTTTCATAACATGCTTGAAAATCACAAACTTAAAACAAAAATAAATCATGACAAAAATACCAAAGAAAGAAATTATGTATAGGGATAATGATAAAAAAATATGGAAACCAGCAAAAATCGTAAAACCATGGCATACACCGCGTTCAGTAATAATCAAAGATTTAAATACTAATAAGACTTTAAGACGCAACACTTTGAACTTTAACAATCATTATAATTTTAAAAATGCCAAAAATTGTAAGGAGGATGAGGAGCAAGTGAAACAAACGAAAAGTTATTGCAAATCAACCTCTGATAATAATAAAAGTGTAAACAGACCAAATTGTGACGTAAATCAACCGAGAATAACACGCTATGGACGTATTGTAAAGCCTGTTGTTAAGTTGAATTTGTAAATATTAAGAAGTAGGATAAGTAGTTTTTGTAATGTTAAGAATCTATGTTTTTATTGAAAAAAGGGAGATGTAGTGATAAAACATAGAAGTATTACGGGTTGCAGAAGCAAGGAAGAAGTTAACATGGCGTACTGAATGTAATCAAGTTGTTTCAATAAATCACTAATCATCTAAAAGTGTATTTAATTAAAAACGACAAGACAATGATTAAGCATATTTTTTATTTTTTTCCTATCATACTGATAAAATTTAACAACAATCGGTACGGAGACCCATTTTTTCTAACTCTTCTGGTTTCGACACATCGG